CCCCCCCCCCCCCCCCCCCCCCAATTACATTATTCGGAATTAGTCAGTCATTAATAATTTACGTTGTCCATAATATTGTAACCCCCTTTTAGCCTTAAAACCAAGAGAAAAAAAGGACCAACAACTTACTGTGTCTTAATTCAACGATTTCGAGATTAGTGCAATTGACAATTGAATTGTCCATCAAGTTGTGGAGCTTCTGATTTGTTTCCCTGAGTTTTTTGCAACTTTATTGTTCTTTTAGGGAGCGAAAGAAGAGTTCACACTTGATCTTGTGGAACAATGTTCTTTCCAAAAGCAACGAATAATGCAACTTGCAATGACTTCTCGGTAAGGCCTTATTTTTTACTTCATCAAAATAATCTCACAATTGCTGCATCTCGTAATGGCTTACTTATGAGACAGGTAGTTTATATGCTTGTTGAACTCATTCAGTTTAGTTAATTAAGCTTCCTAGTTATTGCATTGCCAGGTGCTGTACGTTTTTACTAGACTTTGATTATGTGATATGAGAGCAGAAAGGTATGCATAACATAGAAGTAGTGTAATATTTCAGTTGCTCCTTACAACGAGCTAAGACTTGTTTCCAATAAATGTGTTGTCAACTAAATGAATATTGGAACAAATGACTGTCTTCAGGATTGTTATACTTTAGTATTTGTTCCATATAATTGTCATTTCTTATGTTTGGCAACTGAACTTGAATGTCTGCATGCATGTCATATGTCATGTGATGGTCGAAAGCTATATATTTGGAGGAATTATGTACACATCAAATATTCCACCCAAAACTAAATTTGTCTTAAACTTGATATAAATACAAGGGGTTGTTGTGAAGTGCGTTGGATGAGCGAAGTGAGAGACTAAATGATTAAATGTGAGAAAAAATGGCAGCGACAGTTGAAGGTTGATGTAAAAAATCGAGATTGCTATTTTGTCAAGGGCAATATTTTGGGTCCAATACTCAGTGGCTTTGTCAGGTTGCACCTTTTTGGACCAACCAGTGAATCTGCTAAGTATCATGTGGACTGTGAATTCGGATTTCTACCCCCTTGATCAAATAGGGAATGCTTCTATTAGTTTGAGCATGCATAGCCCCAACTGCTGTCCACCAGCTGTTGCATAGCAATTTAAACTGGTAATTGTCACACGTTTGCTGGTCAAAATCCTTATTTACCGAGGCATATATGCTTATAAAGAATGCCAAAAATGCATCATTTCTTGCCCTTTATACTGTTTCCACTTATAGATGATAGACATCATAAGATTTCTACAGCAAGGGCTCTGAGTGTAGCAATCAACACCAATTACGTGAAGTGGAATTTATACTATGTTCAGAAGTTCTTCCACCTGACTGCTTGTTTTTAGGACTTATTTTTGATTCATCTGTCTATGATAAGCCATTTTTCTTTGTTTTCTGGATTTTGTGATTCTTGATTTAATAGCCATTCTCTTTATTTGCATTCACTGGCTAATTTTACATTTTGTGGAGAAAGAAGACAATTTATTGTGGTAATGGCATTCTTCTCAAACCTAAATTATGGAATTTCTTTTGTAATAATGAAAATAGAAAAAAAAAAAAAAAAAAAAAAAAACCAAAAGAGCTACTATAACATTTTCAATTTTATGGTTGATCAGTTATACATTTTTAGTATTAATCTCTTTCGTTCCCCTATAGCCTGTGAGGATTCATTTCATAACTGTCTGACAATTTTTATCATGCATTTCAGCGAGACTTCTGATACACCACCTGATATGTGGATGCACTTCTATGATATACTATGTCAAGAACTTTTCTTCTTTTTTTACTGCCCCTGAAGTCCAAGTTTATTTTGGATTGTGATTGGTGTATTAAAAGGTAAAATAGTAATTCATAATATTGAAGTAACAACATTATTTCTGCATCTTCTAGGGATGAAAAGATAGTCTCTAGTGCGATTGAGCTTAATGAGCAGCTTGAAAGAGTTCTGCGAAGGCACGATGCACTTGTTTCTGGTAGGACAATGTCCATATCGAGTCATATTGAACATGAACAGATAATGTCCATATCGAGTCATATTAACCAGGAACAGGCAGAGGAAGAGGAAGAAGCTGAACAACTTTTCCGAAGGTATGCATTTATATGTGCTGATTATCATGGTATAAAATTGAATTCAATGACACTGAAATATAGCAATTATTCGAAATTTGGTGAAATTGCATTGTTGGTCCCCAACCTATTACCCTAGTTGCCAGTTGCGCAACATTTGAAAAGATCAAGTTGGTCCCCAACACTATAGTTGCACAATCGGCTCCACTAATGGAAAATGTACAAATTTTTGTTAAATGGTCAAGTGACCATCATGGAAGCTTGTCCTTCTAATTTTTGGGGACCAGTCCAAGTTAAGAAGCTAAATCAAGCTTCATGAAGTTGGACATGGGAGGGCCATGGTCATGATTTTCAAGAAATTTGGATGTTTCCAATGTACAACTATAATGAAAGTTTGGTGACCAACTTGCAAGCGGAGCAATAGATTGAGGAGCGATAGTCCAGTTATCCACACAATTACTGTAGTAAAAAATAAGCTAGTTTCCTTTCAGGTATGTGTGTAGAGATTCTGTTTTTCTTGTCTCTGTTCCAATGTTGTTGGAGCTTTTAATGTTTATTATAATCTCTTTTGTTAGCTTTACATTTGGTTTCCATCTTCGAACTAATATGGTCACTTGACTGTTATTGGACAGGATAAGAAAAGGGAAAGCTTGTCTACGACCAGAAGATGAAGGCTGCCAAATAGAGAGGCCATTGGGTTTGCTGGGAGGCCCTCTTCCTGGGGAAATGCTTCATCGCCCACTCATTCGACCACTAACTGTGGAGCCAAAGCAACAACCATTTCGGCCACTAACTAAGGAGCCAAAGCAAGAGTTTATGCGGCCACCAACTATGGAGCCTGATCAAGAAGCTAATGTAGGTCGACCAGCAGTTGTGATTCCACCACCACCTGCTAAACATGTTGAGAGAGAGAGATTCTTTGAGGAGAAAAAGGCGGACGTTTCTTCGCTTGATGGGCATATGCGGAGCCTCTCGCTACACAGCCAAAACGCCAGCAGCTCTCGCAGTGGAAGCATTGATTATAGTGACTGAGTAGAGAAGTTTTTTTGTGAGAAAAATGCTTTTATAGGTTGAAGGCCATCATATTTTAAATACATGGAGGTTCATGGTTTTTGAGGTTGCAATTCCTTAGATTGCTGATGTAATGAGGATTTGATAGCTCAGAGTGCTGAGATTGTAGGTGTGATTTTAAGAGGCACATAGTGTTTTATCAAGACTATGAATGCTGAATTTGTATTTTAAGTGAATTTTCGTTTCAAACTCTAGTGTTATACTAAATTACTGGATCCAAGCTTTATCCTTTTAATATTCTTCGTCTCCGCCCATAGACGTAGGCCAAGTGCAGGTCGTGTTCGTTTTCTCTCTCACGTTTTGCTTAAAATCTAAATCTTTGGGCTTCTGCACGGTGCAAACTTGTCATGATCCTCACGGTGTACCATGTTTCTTATCTACTTATCCATTTGGTCTGTTATTTGACTTTTCCATCACTCAACGAACAAAACAAAACTTAGACATAAAACATATAACTATCTAAACAAATCACAACTTAAGACATAAAACATATTACTTTCTAAACGAATCACAACTCAACATTGAACTGCTTACCATATTCCTCATGTTCAAATTTAAGTAATACTTTAGAAAGATCCAAACAACATCAAAAATAGATTTTTACTTATCCGATGCTCGACTTAATGTGTGTGTGTGATTCTCCAATATTAAACTTACACACCTCTACTAGAACACATTCAATCAAGTGTGGTTGATTTACTCGTAATTCCAATCCTCTTGTGGTCAATTTTTCTCGTACATCTCGTGCAAATTCACTCATTATGCTTTTCTCTTCAATCCCGTGGTATTTCTAGCACTAGTGGGTTCTTAAAAATCATTATAATGCATTTTTCCACACACAGTGGTCAAAGTTAGATATTTCCTAGAAAGAAGATAATAAGTATTTTTCAAAGTCACACTGTTAATCTCTACAGTTCAAATCTCGAAATCCCTATCGGGCATATCTCACTTTAAATTATCTAAATCCATTTTTTTCTTTTTTGTCATGAATATATTTTGATTGTTGCTCTGTTTTTTTAAACATCTTATGTGTAAGACTCCTCTCCATTAAGTTTTCTAAATAATCTCTGTAACCAGTTTTAGACTGATAACTCCCATGTTAGATGACCATAGGGTACCAGATTTTAGATACCCCAACATGCTTCATCACACGAGTCATAAAGACTACGAAGAGGAGTGTAAGATGTATGACATTTTCTTTTGATATATTATTCGAATCTTAAAATTGGACGGTGCCCATTCTAAACTCTTTAACCCAAACTCCTTCAACCAAATGTTTGATCTGAGAACTCCAAACTATTAAAGTTCTATAAATACGAGCACTAACCTTCCCACCCCAAACTACTTTTTAGCAGTTTAGTTTCTATATAAAAGATTTGGGATTTTATTTAAACCTAGTTCAACAACATCATCAAGTCCACAAAATTAAATTGTGTCCCAACATAAGTGATATGTCAATAATGACTATGTACTCAAATAATCAAGTCTAGCATGGATAAGTACACAAGTACAAGTAGAAGATACGGTATTGTCTAATTCTAACTAAAGTTGTACTCAATTCAAACAAATGAGAGCTTGTTTGTTTTGGATTAAAACCTGATTTTAATATAAGTTAAAGTCAAACAATCAATATTAACTACATTTTTTATGAGTTCCACAACTTTTCAATTACACATTTCAAAAATTTCTATCACATTCTTTTAAAAATCTAATTTAAATCCCTACCAAACATCCTCTAAATAACATTATAAGGAACAAACCTTTCAAAGCTAAACTAAACACTATTTTTGATTTTTTTTTTCAATTTTATTATTATTAAGTAAATATTTATAAAGATCCGATTTACTCTAAGTATCATAATACTTACCCAGTCTCAAACAAAAAAATATTACATTGTCTCCAATGTAAAAGTAAAAATAATCAAAATAAAGAAGGATCAAAAACTCCTCAAGGGTAGATGTGAATAAATAAAAGGATCAGGCTGGTAGACGTCATGACAATCACCACTTTTCATTATTGTTAAGCTTTAATTTTATGTTTAAAAAATCTTAAACAAATATTAGTAATAGCAAAAAAGTTTTAAATGTTTGTAATGAATTCACACCAAGAAGAATTCTAATATTCTAACATCTAGAGAAAAACAACTAACAAAGTGTGCATCCTACAAAAATCTTATGACTAGGAAAATATGTGTCTTTCAAATTGGCTTGAAAATTGAAATCTAGGCGCAACCTTAAGAATGTATATCACATCAATGTACGCTCAATACAATGCTAGGATCTTAACGATGAGTCTAAATAAAATAAACACATTAGGTAAACATGCCTAAGTTACTAGTGAAAGTCTTAAAATCTTACCTAAAATGCGTTAAAAATCATTTAAATTGTTGAAATATGGATATGTTTCGCTTAAACTTCGCTATCTTGGCTGGTGGGAATAATTTTGTACAAAACTTTTGAGCTAAGTCATTCCAAGTAGTGATATTGGCAATGGGTTGAGTCCGACCATTCAAGGGCTCTATCACGTAGAGTGTGTGGGAATAATCTGAATCTGATAGCATCATCTGCAACTCCTTGATATTAAATTGTTGACACATCTTTAAAAAATGAGAGATATGTGCATGTAGATTTTCATCAGCCCTGCTATAGAATTGATGTCCATTATGGAATAAATGGATGACATTTGTCTTCAGCTGAAAGTTTAGCTGCCCAAAGGGAGGATACACAATGCTATATCGACTTTGAATAATTTGTGGAGTCATGAAATCCTCGACTAGCATGTTCCCTTCATCGAACGCTGCCTCTTCATTTACTGGGATAATCGAATTATTCTGTGCATTAGCCATCTTTTATTGTTGTGCATCTCTTGCTAGTATTAGTTCACCGTCTTCCGAATTTCACATAAAATGCCTAAAAAAAGATAAAATAGAAGAATTAAAATAAATTGATAAAGAAAAATAAAATAAAAGCAAAGAGTTCGAATCAGTGCCAAAATAGGTGAAATTAAATTCAAATACAATTCCACCGTAGCGGCTCCAAAAAACTTGTCACGAAAATACGACTACTTGTCGATGTGTCAAGCTGATACAGTTCCTCCCAACAAGGGCTGCTTACCCTACCGAAGTACCAAAAGCTTTCGGGATTACACCTCTGTGTGGATTGCAGGTCAGTTTCTATATGGAATTCGTACTCACCCGCTGGTATGCCTTCTTGCTTTCACTCATAGCTTCGCTTCGATTCGCCAAATGAAAATGAGGGGCTGATTGCTGATTTCCCTGCTGTCACGAATAGCCAGCCTTCAATGGCTTATCTATAAGTCGATGATGACTAGCTCTCTTAGGTTGAACCCTGTGACTCTTTCCACTTCTTTCAAAGGTTCGGCCATAGTTCAAGGTAGCACGCTTAAAAG